GAGCAGTCACGCCATCAGGTGTTGTCATGCCAGCGTTACGTCATCCGAACTGGACATGATAATACAGCGTCACCACAGCTGAGATTTAAGTTAGCAACCACAACGATTATTAGAAAAAAAATCGGCCAACCAATCGATCAGACGTGACCCAAAGACGTAAGTGAAGTCAGCAGGTAGTATCCGATAGTAGCCGCGGTTCACGATTTTATCGACCGGCAACTGACACTCCCGAAAAGACTACCAGAACCAGAACCCCGTCTGTTGTTATGAAGTAGCGTTCCTGTGTCGTATAAAACGTCAGTTTGCAATCAACATTCGATTTTGATCAGCCACGCGATGGGAAGTAGTCAAAACCCGATCAAAAACTCATTTGCAATTTGGTTTCAAGTAGAACATAAGGTTGACCGAAGCCCGGGGACTACGCTTACTTCATGAGCCCTAAAAAAGGCGAAACCATTCGTGGGATGTCGACGGATTTTCAGCAAACCTATGAGTAGTACATTACAAAAATATAACTTAAATCCCCTTATTCCCAATTCTTTCTGTTGTAAGAATTTGAAGGTTCGCATAAGTGAACGATATCCTGAACCAAAAAAGGGAAGTAATTTCTGTGGATTCTAATAAAAACCCTTCCAATCAATATATCCCAATGATATATAATTTGTACAATGGAGAGGAAGCATCATTCGAGAAGAGAACTTATCCGGGTTTCCCATAAATTGTGCGTGCGAACACACTTGATCAGAAACGAATGTATACAAGTTATGTTTACCATGAATTGCTTTGGTCATATAGACTGGCCATTGCCGACTGAATAAATCTTCAGTTTCAGTGTTCAGCTGACTAGATGGATAGGACAGCAGGTTCAAAGCTGTGATGGGTTTCACCTAGTGAATGAAGAGTTCTTTCCTATTTGAACTTCATTTACTCTAGTTGTCGAAAGATACGTAGGCCATCCACTACGATATGCCCTTGAAAACTGTCAGCCGGTTGTCACGATGATATTTTCATATCAGGGTCCTTGTTCGCTTCATCTTACCACTTCACTGAAAATCTGATGTTAGGCTAGACAAATTGTCTTTCTGTGTCGTGACCCCTAGTACGTGGTCCGCACTTCCATCGATGATTCCAAATCGTATCATCACTCTCTTCCTAGTCGTGCCACTTAACACGGTGCTACAACTGGATGCCATACTGATGTGTTGTTCAAAGAGAGATTCAGCCACCTGCACTATCGTGTATGAAAGCTCCGACAATCGATTATCGGCGCACGTCTTCGAATAGTCATTCGATGTGCACCAGCATTATATCCGTCATAGATAGCGACTCAATCGCTACGCTTGCTAAATTGAACGAGTGTTCACAAAAGACATTGGAACGATACCCAAGACCCACTGATTCGAGTATACCAGTTGTCAGTCTAGGTGTTTTTTATATCACGTACGTATGTCCCGGAGAATCAGCTGAGTTCAACGCATTTTTGATCACAGTGAGATAGAAAGATCATCGATAAACCGAAATTATTCCCACACTAACATTCGGTCACATTTGACACACACAGCAAACCTGCTCCTTCCCGTGTTCAGAGTATAACGTGCTACAAAAAACAGGTGAACGTAGTGGAAAAAGGAAGCATCATTTGAGCAAGTTGAAAACAAGCCATTGAGCAAGTTCTCGGATCGATGCGGGGCTGGGCTGAAGACGGCTCACTAACCGAATCAGTTGGTTCTGAAGACACTACTTCCACAAACGTATCCACCACATGGTTATCACGCCTACACATCCCCTCATCAAGCATCGTTGTACTGATCTGAGCCATCGAAACAGTGAACACTGCTATACGGGGAGTCATAGAAGGCTAAAGGAGTAGTTTGAGCGTAAGTACATACGTGTAGATGAGATATGGTCCTCTTGTACTGTCTCTATTCCACGGTTGCCTGAAGTCGATATTATCATCATACTTCCTATAGCTGACAGCATAATTAATGGTATTCCTGATCACGTTTAGTGGCATACATCCGCGTAATAGGCATCTGGTAAATTCGTTAACAGCATTACAGCTTTTTTAAACAACAAACTGATTCAGTTCTGTCCCGTATTGACTCCAGATTTAGATGCGTATTCCCCTCATGCAGCTGTTTAAGGGTTTACTTTAGACCGAAGTAGCGTCTAGGGTAAACATGCCACTTGAATTTGCGTTTTGTGACTACCACATACGTGGTAGCGCTCCTCAGCTTTTTTCAAACACCTACGGCGCCGATTTTGTCAGGATCACCTTTCTCCATTGGTCGAACGTGATGAAATGAATAGGGATGATAGTTGTCCATCACAGATCCTGGTGTTCCACCCAGAATGCGGATGCATTGAAGTCGATCGACTCTTTGCTTCGTGAGAAAAATGAATGGCATAGTCGCGAAATTTAGATCATACTGATGGGAATCCGAGCCTATAATGTAAGAATGTTCGAAAGCTCCAATCGATGCCTTGTACCATGTCTGGAATTAGACAGAAAAATGCTACGACGAAAAAGCCCCCATCGATTTACGTTGGAACGATCGGTTGGAACAAATGGTATACAGGTATAATTTGCGAAGTGTCACTGAGGACCTCCTGATCTCGTTCGGTCCTGTTCAACTTTGAACATCCCGGTGCACAGCCCATGTCACCCAAGCAACTTTTCACCGAATTAGTGATCGATTTTGATATCATATACAGAAGAGTCCTAATGCTCATTTATGTGCAGCTGATGCCAATTCATTGACCATTTCGATGGGGTGAGATACGTGCATGATACATAGGGATTTCACCAATGATGCTCAAAGATCATAGCTAAAATGCCCTGGATTATCATGAACAGTCATTGATGAGGTATGCTTTCGGTGTGAACCCTATCACGATTATTTTCATAAAAGAAACTACTCACAAGGTTGCTGAAAACTCTTCGACAGCCCACGACCGGTTTCGCCCTTCTTGGGGCTCATCAGGTAAGCGCTGTCCCCGAGTTTCAATCAACCTCGTGTTCTACTTGAACCCAAATTGCACTGTTTTCGAGAAATACACTCATTTGCAAATCAATTTGGTTCTCCTTTATGAAAATATACTGCGATATCTCGAATATCGTGCCAGCTGAAACATGAGGTGGCCTCTGTGCAGCACATTCAGTTATGGAATATCATAAGCGAGAGATTCAGTTGAGTCTCTCGTGAAAAACAAATTGATTTGCGAACGAGTGTAGTTCTCGAAAACAGTCCAATTTGGGTTCAAGTAAATCATAAGGTTGATGGAAACTCGGAGACTGCGCCTACCTGATGAGCCCCAAGAAGGGCGAAACCGGTCGTGGGCTCTGGGAGAGTTTTCAGCAACCTTGTGAGTAGCACCCTATGACGATTAGTTTGAGTCAGCTGAAGAACCGCATCCGAATAGTCATTACCCCTGAGGTAGAGAAATCACATGGTCCTACGAGGTCACCGAAAGTGAATAAAGGTGCGTTCCAAAGAAGCTTGCTTCATCGAAAATTATCGTGAATAGCTTTGGAGATAATATTACAAGGGTAGAAACCGGGTGGTAACTTCATATTGGGTATGGTAATTCGAAGCGGATGTTGCTGAGATTTGAATGTGAAACTGGTCCATGATTGAGTGTCAGACGTACCCAGAAAATACTCAGTGGTACTCCACGTCTGGAGCACAAGGACATGAGGAAGTCCCATTGATTGACTGGAGTGTACATCAAGTAGTTTCAGGTCACGTGAAGGCTAAACCATATAGTGCCGTTCAGTGAGGATAATAGGTACGATGTGCCTCAACAACAGGTGGCTTAATTTTTTCTTGGCACGATACTGCAAAACGGAACGACTCCAGAAATCTGAGATCACAATCGATTATCTTATATGGCGTCGGATTTAATGCCAACAGTGACAAGTCATGTGATCAAACAAGACGAAAAAACATCGGGCACTTGACGGTCAACCACTTTCCTTTGTGGGTGAACGAACTGCGGAAGAGGCAATCTCTGGAGATGACAGTATCGGCGACCATGTGGATTCTCTTAGCTACATGTTTGTGAGCTTGTTCAGCATACATACGTTAAAACTGACGTGACGCATACCCTAAATATCACGGAGGGATTGATTACAGGAACTGCGGGTGTGCGATGGAATTTGCCGCCAACAGTTCTGGATACTTACATGTATACGTCGAAACACTTGAGTATGCCTACATAGACTGTGCCCATCCAAACACATCCGCAGCGCGGACACCTATCCTTGTGTCAAAACGCATCTATCGGACCTTGCGCCTGAGCTCCGACCCACATGATCATTGGTCACCGGTTGCCGTGGTCGGTGCCGAAGTTGCCTTGACTCACTGACCAATGGGATACAAGCAAGACCATGATGCCATTGGTTGCGCCAATAGGGTGCACCATAAATCAGCATGATCAGTCAACCTCGAGACTCGGCTGACTTCCGTTCGGAATGTGCTCCCCGTCGCATGAATCTTTCATTCCTAGCTGGAGGACATCGGATACTGTGGCCATCTCCGCCGTTCCGGGGAGTTCCAATTGTACGGTGGGGTCATCATGGTCACCACTATCCTGTTCACTTGGCTCGGCGTCAACCAGTGGTCTCTCGGCCGAATGGGACGAAAGTTCTGTTGCCACGCAACTTGCACGCCTGAGTATTTCGCCAACGAATCACACAGGTAATTTGTTATGGTAATGGGCATGAACGGTTTGGTTTTCTCCGTATTTAGCTGTAACGAATGTGTATGACAGCCTGTCTGCGGACTGTGGTTTAATGCACGGCCTTGGAAAAACCACAGGTGGTAGCAGTCCCGAACATCGATTGTTCGTCGAACGGCCCACTGGTCGTCCAGAACCCATATCCCGTAAACCTACTCAGCAAAAATCGCTTACCAAGTGGACCGAGTTAGACAACGAGCTGGAACTGTGGGAAAGACGGTAATTTGCTTTTGACTGTATTCACCCGTCGTGTTATGTAGCCTTTCTGTATTGGGATGCGGCGGAAGAAGGATTTCACAGTCGCAACTTGCCGGTCTGAGTAACTTCGTGCGACGCCTTCGAGTCGCAGTACGGCACAAAAAGGAAGAGGGGATCGACCTATGTGCCTTTTGTCGGAACAATGGCGAACCCTTCGAAATCTACGTTACGCACAAGGTAAGCTGGTCGTTTCTCACATCGAGATTCGACCGTACGGATTCCCGTTTTGTTGCTTGAGTGCCTGATGTTTGTTCGTTTGTATAGGTGAAGGACTCAACCGGACGTGTACTGTGCCCAGTCTTGCGCCTACTGTCCTGCCCTCTATGCAAGTCGACAGGTGATTTGGCCCACACGATCAAGTACTGTCCGTACCGGTTCATGGAACACTGTTGATGGTTTTTGTCTAATATCCTTCCTCTATGTTGTTACTTTATTTAATGTGTGAACTATGTGCCATCCTTATTTCGAGGTATTTGTTAATAAGAACGTACTGTCATACACTACGCGGTATTTGCAATGCTTCGGTGCTTGTCTCTTGGCTGCGGTGGATGTCAGCTAACTTTTTAGGGGGAGTCAATGAGTGAGTAAGGGGTTTGGGCACCTGTTCTACTCATTGGGAGCCGTCATTTGAGCATTTATCGCTGGTCATAAGCCGTCAAGTTCATTTGTTTGGAATGGGGAACAGTCGTGTGGTGTGTGGGAACGGCTCAACTCAGGCTGAGGACTTGGAATATGGCTTGTGTTGGGATCCGGCAAAAATGTTCTCTCGAGAACTTACGTGCTGCACTTCTTGTGTGTACAGTGGAGTGGAGTGTACTGGATAAGTGCAAATGTTGGTACTGCTTTCTTGCTGTTGGCGGTTGCGAACAAAATGTTTGACCGTATTGGGTGGATGTCTGCAGTTGGGTGTGATCGGCAGTCGCGTGAAGAAGTGTTGCGTTCGTTTATCTTGTCCATCCATTCAGAGTCTCTGCGAGCATGGTTTGTTTCACTTGGTTCTTCTGGTATCTTGCTGCGTGTATGGGTCCAACAGCATGTTATCCATATTGCGAGCGGCTAGTCGGTCCGGCAATCGTTGGGGGCCGCATTGATGCAAAACAACTGGAACTGGTATGGTTACTGCAGCTCTGCTCGAATTCGATTGGACGCGGTTGTCCGCTGCACATTACGTGGTGCGGCGACCCAATTTATTTTTACGAGTGTCATGTTATCCGATTTGACCTCGTCCTGAGTTTTTATGCCATTGGGTCCAGGCTGATCAACAGCAAAACGTAAGGCTTCAAATGGATGCCTCAAAGCACATTCGATCGCCCGGAAACGCCAGAAGCGAGACGTTAGCTGTGTTTTAGCCGTGTCTCTCGCCAACGAAGTTTGTTTGCAAATGAGTGTATTTCTCTAATTTCGTGGATTTTGGATCCAAGTAGGACGTAAGACTGACAAGATTTTGGGGCTTGCGCCTACCTGGTGATCCTCAAGGAGGGCGAGACCGGCCGTGGGCTGTCTTTAAGTTTTCAGCAACTTTATAAGTAGTGCATTACCAGCATGGATGAATCATCGTTTTATACGCGGATGGGGATCTTCTAGACACGGCTGCTGGGCGTGAGCTGGCCTCTGTGCTTTTAGGTCGTTTGTCCTCAAAGTAGTGTGGCACTCTGATAATATTCTACATGTCATTTTCCACCAACCTCGTACATACAGCCGATTTCGGTGATCTGATCTCTTTCACGTACCGGTCCCATTGCAGATTATAAGCCTGAAATGGATTACGCGGTCCAACTGAATGCTATTCGGGCACGCAATAATCATTCCCCACATTAGAATGGTTAGATATTTAAATGATAGAACATGTAGCCGGACAGCCTGAAGTGCACAATCATCCTTGGGCCTCTAGTATAGTCTGAGTAGTAGCGTGTACAGAAGAGCCCACCAAGCGCAGACCTTCACAGAGCGAACGTTTCAACAGAGTAAACAAGTTTGCGTGGCCAAGATTTTCTATTCCCTGGAAAGAGGCACAGTGCCAGGGAGGTGAATCACTTTGTCTCACAAGAATCAACTCCATTATTGTGGAGTAATGATAGCTGCGGCAATTCTACAGCCTTTAAGCATGAAGTTGTGTGTATCAGCTGTTGTCCCAACTGGATGCAGTGACAGTATACGCAATAGCCTTTCGTTCACCCGCATCTTGACGATGTCAGTAGTTGTTGTGCTCCCAGGATTCCTCCAAGTCACGTTTCCAAACAGCTTTGATCTTGTCGAGCACAACGAACGTACTGTACAGTGGACATCCATCCGTTAATGTACATAGAAGACTCAGCTGAAATTCCTACGAATTGCGTGTTGGTAATACCGTCTCTTCCTTGATTCTGATTTGTCTGTAACAGATGGAATTTCATCCTCTTCCTCCGTGGCCTGTAGGTGAAACGGAATATAACACTGACTGTGGCAATCTCTGGCCAATGCACTCTTCGCTACTTGACTTGGCAATATCATAGGCTATGCACTATAAGATAGAGAGTATCAAACCCTTCTAGCGTCTGCTACGTTATGCAGATTAAAATTGAGCCCTAGTCTAAAGTCGAACTTGTGTAAGCTCGCTAGCATCCTGGTGAATAAATTGACCATCCAAAAAACCCGCGGTGTGAGCATTCTCCTCACCCATACGGAACAGGGATCCGAAAATACCAAGGTTTTTGTCTAGACACAACATACTACTCATAAGGTTGGTGGATTTCTTCAACCTTCTTCCTTGGGACTCATCAGGTAGACCCAGCCCGCTCATTGTTAGTGTAGTTGCATAAGAGCAGGCTTCATCTTGGTTACCATTTTTGAAGGCATCGATTCGGAAAGAATACACTAAAATATCTCGGATCTTTTCCAGATAAGCCCCATCACCAATGCAAAAAGTGCATGTGCGAAAAGTCAAGCCCTGCCACTTTTTGCCAGCTCCAATTTAATGTGAGCGTACAACCTTAACGTATTTTTGATTAAAAAAAAACACTCCTTATCCGCATCTAGGCTCCTTTTGTGCAAAACCCTAACTGAACTTCCTGATGCTTTCAAATCTCGTTCATGACAAGGAGTCGGCAATGTTTTTTGCAAAGCCACGGAATGATCCATCGGCAACGTCTATGGAACAATGGCCACCAAATGACACTTCCAGCTGTTTCTCACAGGTCGAGTTTTAATACCCGACAGTGTCGGCAAGACATCAGTCTTCGAAAGGGAACTTGGCTGGAGCGGTCAAGGATGGAGTTTAGGACAGTAATTCTATTCATTTATTGCTGGTCCAAAAATTCGGCAAAAATCAAATTCTGCTCAGATTAATTATCCACACGACCGCTGTTGGCTAGAAGAGCTTTCTTCGCGAAGTTGCCGCCTGGCGGGTTTTGCCTAATCCAACAGCTATCGGCGACCCAGGTCTACACGTTGAGATCGATGAAACGCCACTATCTCGCCGTAAAAACCACGCAGGGCGAGTCCTTCCCCAGTGGTGGATTTTTAGAGGGATCTGCCGGGAAAATGAAGAGGTGTTTATGTATGCAATGCCAGATCGAACTACGGCCACTTTGATGGACACAATGCATGCCTGTATCGCTCGCGGCTCAATCATCATCTTCGATATGTGGGCATCATACCAAGGAATTGAAACGATGAGTGATATGAAGTATACTCATGAAACGGTTAATCACACCGAAAACTTTGTGGATCCAACGACTGGAGCTGACACAAAAAACATCGAATCTCTTTGCCACGTCTGCAGAATGAACGCCTTATGCGGCACACACCGATCTTTAGTGGACAGCTACTTGTGTGAGTTCGTTTGGAGGCAAAGGTACTGAAAAACGGACCTTTCCATGTAAATTGTTAATGACATGTCCCAATTTCACCCTCTCCAATAAAAACTAAAAGTACAAATTTCATATCCTCTTTTTTCTAATCCTTTTTGGGTGGCAGGACTTATCTGGAAGAGATCCAATATCTCCTTAGTAGCGTTTGAGTGAAGGAGGTGCGTTGATGAATCTTGAAGAAAAGGTTGTAGATTTTATGAGAAAGGGATATACTGTAAATGATTTACGGAAACAAGCCATTTTCCCTGTTCACAGCGGTGTGAACAAGCTGGCGGGACTCACTACAAACAGGCTGCTCTCGTGGATCGATTATAAAAATGTATCAGTTTGGAGATTCTGACCAATCGTGAATATCGAATGCATCTAGCTACTAACCGAGACAGTCGCCTAGGCGCCATAAAGGTTATCCGGCTATTTGGGAAACCATACACTAGACGTTGGTTTTGTAGAAAAGTGCTGACCGAGGAAAAAGGTTATCCGGCTATTTGGGAAACCATACACTAGACGTTGGTTTTGTAGAAAAGTGCTGTACCGAGGAAATCTAGCGAAACACTTGGAGCGAATAAGAAGCAAATGATCTTACCTCTGTTCTGCCAGTTTCCATGGTCGATAGTATCCAACACGGCATGCCGAGACTCTGTTCTCCGCAGGTTGCCAATAGCGTATTTGTTTAGAACATGGTGACACAACACTAGAAGAATCAGCAAATAAGCTTATTCACTCGTCTACGACTATGGTTAGAATAAACAGCGATAACTGCACGGCAGGGAAACTCGCCCTAAACAGTGCACAAGGTTAACGGCTTCTAGTCTGTCTTTATTTATGATGTTAGATCAAGGCGCATGCATTGATTGTGTCATCCGTGTGTGGGACGATTACAGGGCCTAGTCAGTGTCGTGGTTATGGAGATATAGGGCAATGAGAGCCCAGGCTTTCCATTTATGACCAAACTAGATGCGGCAGTCCCCTGAAAGAGACACCTCCGGATCGAACCCTTTCATCCAGAGAGACAAATCCCTGGTCAAAGACCGAAAACCAGTTTACCTCTGCTTGTAATCTTTGCCGGATCACCACACACTGTGTAGCTATACTGTTTAAAGGTTGGACAACAGGCTATGATTATGAATTCACATGTAAGCGATGCACCGTCAGTGTCAGCGAATATGCGACAATCAGTATGTGACAGACAGTGGGCTCATGTCTATTTGCGACCCGACAGAATCCCAAAGCCAGACTGTCATTGCGAGCGCCTCAACTGGTCGACCAAGTTCACACTTTCAATGACATAGTTGGTCAGATTTGTATGGGCACAAGTGGCAAAATAAAACATGTTATTTACTTCTCACTTAGTCGTTTAGGTATTGATATACTTTCGTTAACCACCCTAGTTCTATCATGGCTATACTAACCACTGGGAGGTTGTTGGGTCTAAATGTGATGATACTCCGAATGCTACTCATCAGAGGGAGAAATGTGCTACTTAGCCTTGTCCACTGAGAAGATGGGCTCGTTTGTGACCACTTTTACTCCGATGGAAAAGAAATT